AAGTTTTTAGCAATGCATATTACTAATCAAAAAGTACGTTTTAATATATTTACAGTAGGAAATTTACAAAATACTTTACTTAATATCCTAATGATTTTTGGCATAAAAGAAAAATCAATAATTTTGACCCATACAATGTATTTTTGGCTATTGCTAAAAATATACCCCAGCGACTTAAGACTGGTTTTGTGGTCCAGGGTCACATATAGAGAGAGAACCATTTCACTGAAATAGACAGTCTGAACTAATTTCTGTAAATTAACAAAACTTGTCATTTTATATCGCCAGTGAATCGGTACAAAATATCAGAAATATTTATTTTAACACCAAGCCATAAACCATGTTATTTTTTGCTGAAAAAAAAAACTATAAGCATACTATTAAAAATGACCAAAAACTAAAGCGAAAACGTAATATTAATAAAAACTAATCAATGATAAACATAATGAAATTGCAAAAACTTAAAACTGAAAATATAAAACTAAAAGCTAATTTACAATTCTGAATAAATTCTATAATAGTACATACCGCTGAACATACAGCTAGAGGGAGCTGTTCGCAATACTCTTACAAAACAATACCTGCAAACTGACATCCATCAGCACAGAGCTGTTGAGTTGATCATGTACATCATGACATGTTATATGTTAGCTGAGAAGAGGCATAGATATCAAATTTGGCAAAGCACAGCGGTGAAACAGACCGTGACCTGACTAGTAGGCAAGGAGTAAATCATACGTGCCGTCTCACCAAGGCTGAGAACACAAGGACACATGACAACATGGACAACTTTTGGATCAGGGCTTGTTTATAGATGTTTCTGTCAGTTGGATGGGTGAAGATGTGATACCTCAGGCTCTCCTGTGTCATGATTAGTCTGAATGAGGATCTTTCCGAGCCGAATGTCCTTACAAACAGCCATCAAGGCCTGTTCCATGGTCTCTCCTGCCCGTAGAATGGACACACCAGTAATCTATCAAACGAACAAACAAGAGGCCTAAAGTCCTGCCATACAGATAATAGCGATACCTATGGAAATGTGTTTCTGCCATGGAATAAAAAAAATTTCACAATACAGTGAAAATCACAATACAGACTTTTTCCCCCTCACAATTTTGAGTTTATATCTCACTACTCAAACTTTTTCCTCAGAAAAAGGGGAGAAAAACTCAAAATTGTGATATAAATGTTACCTTTCTTGTGGCAGAAAGAAAAAAAATCAGAATTGTGAGATGTAAACTCAGAATTCAGAGGAAAAAATCTGAATTAGATGTAAACTTGGAATTTGCGAGAAAATCTGAATTCTGCATTTGTATCTTGCAATTCTTTTTTCTTAAAATTGCGAGAAAAAAGTCTGAATAGTGAGATATAAACAGAATTGTGAGAAAAAAGTCTGAATTGTGAGATACAAATGCAGAAATGTGAGAAAAAAAAAAGTCTAAACTGTGATAAAAACTTGCAATAACTTTTTTTTTTTTATTCTGTGGTGAATACAGGCTTAAGTAGAAAGACAACTAATTTGATCAAGCAATTTTTTCACAAATGCATGTAACACATTTTAACCTTCCAATAAACAAACCCTTTTCCCACTCAGCCTCTTCCCTTCATATACAGTTTCTTGAGGAGTTTCAACAGACACCGGCTAAAAGAGAAGACCAAATAAGAATCAGTGATCGATTTTTTTTTACTAAAATTATATAAAACAAGTGCTATAACCTAGAATGAAGACTTGCTTCACTTCACACCATTAAAAAAATTGAATTTGTCCATGGGGGCGCTGCCTGACACTCATATGCATCACTGTATTATGACCAATACCCAGAGCTCGTAACATCAAGTTTAAAAAAATCGTAGTTGGTCATTAATGGCGGTCCACTCACCTTCAGCGGCAGAAAGGACAGGGCATGCTCTATGAGAAGCCTCATTAATCTCTTTGAATAGAAAATAAATTCATCTCGACTGGTTTCTTTATTCCTGAGGGCACAGGGGACACAGTCAATAATACACAACGGAGGTGATGTGTGTTTTGGAAGAGTGTATGATACTTTGTACAGAAAGCATTGTTCTGAGAGTTTAGATAAAGTGAGAAAACAATCCTTATTTTATTTTAATTACCTAATTACAAATCAGTGGCCCAAAAAGTACAAACACAACTCAAGCTGTTGCCAGCCTGCTGAAGCCACATTCATTTTAACGGGAAATTCACCATTTTGCTGATAAATTTTGCTCTTTATTTATTTGTGACACACAGTACACCTACACTGGAGTAACCCAAGGTGTATATCTAAAGGGTACAGGTATTATGATTCTTGAGTTTGAACCTAAACTTTATATCCAGACCAATTTTAATGTTCTATAACAGAAATTACAGCAATGTTGGTTGGTTTATAAAATGGAATAATATTTTTTTTATCTGAGCTGCAAGCTAGCAGTTTGCTAACGTGCTGATATGACAGTGAAATTATGCCAATTCGTCTTTCTATTATGTTGTCTGTTAGGTCCATATCAAACATGCAGGACTAGTACAGTATAATTTACAACACATGATTCTTATAAGCAAGTTCTTTTAATGAATCACTCAAAAAGATTCATAAAAATATTGAATCCATCAGAATGAACTGAATCTGCCAGAGTGGTTACTGAATCAACATCCGACACTTACTGAGCTGCAAATTCTTACTTTAGTAAAATGTTCAACACAAAATAAAATGTGTTTTGTAATACATATTATTTGTGAATATACACATCTACAGATATACAAACATCTTTTTTTTCTTCATAATAAATTATATTCAATTATATTTTAATATAAAAAAGCATTAAACCATAAATTGAATCTTTAAAAATGTAAATGTGTTAAATGTAGAAAAAAATAAATAAGTAAATGCACTACCAAGTTTCAGGTCAGTTCTTAAGGTTTTAAAAGTCACCAAGCCTGCATTTATTTGATCAAAAATATAATAAAAACTGTAATATTGTGAAATATTATTATAATTTAAAATTGTTTTCTACTTTAAAATGTAATTTATGCCTTGCTGGTGTAACATTGCTGAGTTGAGTTGAGTTGAGATGAATGTTAAAACGGTTATGATGATGCAGTTTTTCAGAATTCTTTGATGAACAGAAAGTATAAAAAATAGCATTTGTTTAAAGAACTTTACTGTCATTTTTGATCAATTAAATGCATCATTGCTGAATAAAAGTATTAAATACTTCTGAGCGGTAGAGGAAATAAATCAGTAAAATTTTACAGTAAAAAAAAAAAACAATAGTGTGTGTGTGGTACTTAAGTATTTAAGTATTCATAACAACAGCCATTTCAACAGCCATTACTCCAGTCATCAGTGTCAAATTATCCTTCAGAAATCATTCTAATATGCTGACATTCCTTATCATTATCAAAGTTGAAAACAGCTGCTTAATATTTTCTTTTGATCAGTTTAATGTGTCCTTGCTGAATAAAATTATTTTCTTTACACGATAGTGCTTGTTTAGATTTTTTTCTTTGAACATTAGTGTAAATAAATCAATAAAATATTACAATAAAAACACCAATAGTGTGTGTGTAAATTACTTAAGTATTCATAACAGCAGCGAGGTCATACCTGATAATAGTGTGCATTCCTCGGACCTGTGGGGTGCTCTCCATGACACTCAGGGTCTTGGGTAAAGGTTGACCCTGATGGGCAGATGCCAGTGCTGATCTATATAGCACACGGATATGAAACGTAAACATTCCACAAGTTGCACACAAGCAAACAAAACCAAACTTTTTGTTAATGGAAAATAGACAAATATAACAATATTTGACTTTTTCCCAGTGCGAATATGGTTTGAAGAGCTGATGTGAGTTTGAAGTGTTATGGTAGCAGGTCAAGGTAGAGTCAAGGCCCATTCACTTCAAGTCAGGATTTCCATTATAAATACATTTTAAAATAAAACAATTGCATAATTTACACAAATGAACCACTTTCACCCCAAAAACAAACCTCCCTGACCAATAAGATATTGACTTGGGTTATGTGTTGACAACCTGTTAATATCGTAAGTTTCAACATACAAGTGTGTGCATCATCAGTGTGACCTATCAGACTTGGTGTGAACAGGCCTTTAAATTAGAAGTAGACAGAAGTGAGGGTTTTGCAACCAAAGATCTGATGCACAAGCATTAAAGAAACTGTTCACCTAAAAATTACAATTGTCATTTACTCACTCATTTCATTCCAAACAACGTATGACTTTCTTTCAGACCACAAAATTTTTTTTTTTTTTAAAAACCCGTTAGGCAGGATTTACATGATGCTTTTTCACATTGTAAAAACCTCTTTTTGCATATCAAAGAAGAAAGAAAAAAAGTCATACTTGAGGCAGAGTAAATGACAGTTCTAATTTTAGGGTAAACCATTTCTTTAAACAGTGAAATAATGTGATATTAAATAAAACCAACAAGATGGTAATGGAACTCTGAACGAACGGTAATGGAACTTCTAAATGAACTCTAAAAGAGAACTCTGTCTCTCAGCAAAGACTGAGAGAGCCACCAATGCCCTCTACAGTATACAACCTACATTAATGACAGTTTCACCAAACGTCAGCCCACAATCCCATACAGAAAGACACTGTGTCCTAACCAGTGTGACGCGACAAGCACTTTGTCTCCACTGAACACAAAACCGCTCCTCGGCATAACATGATGACAACCAATCAGAAGATATTACAGGGATTTTGGACCAATCAGATCTCTACCTATGCAAGGCCACAAAAATAAAAACCAAGCAATGGACAAAATGTCTTGTCGCTTTTCACAGGCGATGCTGGTTAGGACACTGTGATGGACTGACAGTGTGAATGTTATTAGCTCAATCTGAAAGTTAAACATACACAAGCTTTAAACAAAAAAATTCAAACAATAATAGTAGTAAAAAAAAATACTAAAAGAGCAGAACGTGTTTTATCAAGTGAGGAAGGATTGCAGAGGACAGATCCAAGAAAACGAAAAATAAATCCAATTGAAAACAATAAACAAATAAAATGAAGAAAACAGAACAGAAAAAAAAAAGAAAGGCGAGAGGATGCAAGAATTTATCCTCACATATCCCAGCGGAGTTTCCTCTGAAGAAGGAATAAATGTTCATTGGGAGACAATGATGACGAGACAGAGAAAAGAGAGAGGGAGGGGGAGAAAAGAACACGACCTCATTAAAGTCTATACAGAACAGACGGGCACATCACAGCCAAGATGAGCTCAGGTCTGGGTAGTATGTCAGTGGTTTTCAGCTGAGGTGCTGTTGCCAGTCTAAAATGATAAAATGACAACAGATGTCTCAATACTGAGACCCTAATATGCATTATCAGAGGATTTCACAGTCTGCACAGTACCTGAAGAGCAAAACCACTGAAATAGGCCCATCCCTGTGTTAGCAACAGCATCAAAATAACACAGTGGAGGTGGAGACAAAAGGTACACAGTGAAGCTATGGTGTTTATTTTGGCTCGCAAAGCTAATTTATAAACATATTCTGTCTTCACATCAATTTTGTGCAATTCATTTAGGTCCTTAATATAGGTGTCCACTCAAACGTTTTGCTTTGTAGATCATTTCGGCCAAAATATTAAAATTAAAATCAAAACAAGCACTGCCATTCAAAGAAATTAATACTTTTACTCAGCAAGGACACATCACATTGATCAAAGCAGCACAACAGTTTTTAATATTGATAATGCACCAAATCAGCATATTAGAATGCGTTCTGAAGGACACTGAAGACTGGAGCAATGGCTGCTGAAAATTCAGCTTTGCCATCACGGGAATAAATTACATAAGCATATTAAAACAGAAAATAGTTATTTTAAATTGCAATAATAGCCTATTTCACTATTAATGTTTTTTATTTTTGATCAAATAAATGCAGCCTTGGTGAGCATAAGAGACTTTACCATTAAAAATCATACCACCCCCCAAACTTTTGAACGGTAGTGTATTAGCTGTTTAAATTACAGCTGTGACTTTGGACCAATGAGATTTTATTGTGGGCGGGGCTGTGCATCCATTTATACTGCAGCATTAACATTCAATTTGTTTAGTGTAGACCATAGCCAGAGCTACGCTTTTCCTTTTGTCTCCATTTGCATCTCTGCAAGTTTGAGGAAAAGAAAGGAGAGATGAAGCACAGGTTTAAAGAATGAAGGAAAGAGAGATGGAAGGAAATGAGGGGAAAAGCAGCCATACCTCACTGTGATTTCACGCTGGGATGGTTAGAGCAATCGGTTGAGGGTTTAGCAAGTATTTCATTACAAACACACATAGGGAGGAGAGGAATAAAAAAAGAAAAGAAAAAAAGACAAACTCATGAAATGAGATATTCACTCAGAAAAGCCATTCCAAACAGTCAGCCCTCACCCTCTCCATGGTATACTGGGAAAATATTTCATGGCACTATCAGCTACTCCCTATATTTAACCTGATACAATCACATTCTTGCAGTTTTACACAATATACATTTATGCCTCTCATATTTCCATCACTAAAAAGAACATGTTTCAGGCTGATTTAAAAGTCTTTATCAGTGTCACTGTATTACTGTGGAATATTGAGGTTGTTTAGATACCACATGTATAGACACTAAATTTTCCATTGCAATACATTTTCCATTGCTTTAGTCACAAGAGGTTTTGTTTTTTAATTTAAAATGTTTTTTTGGGGGTGATTCTTTAATAAAATAATAAAGAAATAAATTGAAATAAAAAGAAGTGTTTGAATTAGGGAAAATCTTTTGAATGAATAAATAAATGGAATATATTAATTATAAAAGTAATACATTTATTATTAATTTATACATCAATAATTTGTTATGTTATAACAGTAATATGTATGTGTGTATACATGCACCATTTGATAATATTTTAAATAACTAAGTAAATAATGTAGATAGCATTATACATTGGTCAGTAATTATCATTTCATTAATTTAATCAATTTCTTAAACCAAGTTCAAATGCAATTGGCTGCTACCTAATCTGTCATGTTAGCAAGACCAAGGTTTATCTTTTTTCTCTCATAAAGCAAAAAATGTCAATACCATCATTACCATCACACACAATATTGAAAACCCACATGTCACACGTTATACAAAACAAAATTTAAAAAGTGCCCCTAATTGAGGAATCATTATAAAAAATAAATTGCAGTACAGATTTTTCAGTCAAAGTACTCACTGGGCCTAACACAGAAAATCTTTCAAATCTGACCTATGTGATGAGAAACCCAATGCGGTCCTGTGGCTTTAGACCATGATACCTTTTGCACCAAAGCACATGGTTCATTAGTTCTAAAGATCATTCCTCACTGTGACTGATCGAGTAAAAAAACAGAAAAGCATTTTCCACCTCAGGATAATTCATGACTTTATTCAGCCTGCCAGGCACAGAAAACGATTACATTTCAAAGAGGCACTAAACCCTTTTTGTGGAATACATCTGTCAGCACTGCATGCACATGAACGTCACTCAGCAAACGTTCATTAGTGTTAACATCTTTGTCTTTCTAGTAATTACCTTGGTAGGCGACATGAAATCAAAACTGACTACACATTTGCTTGTCTCCTGGTTTCTCAGCATATTGTCTGAATCATCAGAGCATGTTATTCCAAAGAAAAAAGTGGAACAGGCAATAGGCTATTTAGTCACTTTTTTAGTAGTAAATTCACAATCGGGCTGGACTATACAGATCCAATCAATTCCCAAAGGAAATGTCATCTTAATTTTTTTTTATGAATATTTTGTGCCAGAAATTACATTTGCAAATGAATTTTATAATACTATAATGGAGAAGATGGATTGTAAAATAGACATATCAAGATTACTGGCCTTGCCTTTTCTTGTTTGAACCAATGCACATAATATTTATTGTCACATATAGAGTATGACCACCAGAGGGCAAACTACACTTATACCATGGCATGGGCTTCATATGCACACGCATGCAACATTTGTGCGTTTTAAGAGCATGTGGATCATCTAGCAGGGATACAGCATGCATGTTGGCCATTCTCAGCACTTCATTATGCACAGGCCAACTAATCATTCTCACTCAGTGTCAAACGGATGAGAATGAGGAGCCATTTTTATTACATACCTTTTCCAGCTGACTGTGAACATGCTGAACAATCAGATCCAAGGCTACGAAGTTTTCTCCACCTGGAGAAACAACGGAAGGGGACTGTTATAATAAAGCACATAATCCCATAAATTTGAGTAGAAAAAATCTGAATAAACTAGAGCTTTCAGAGTAATTGTTTACTGCTGTACCAGCATTCAGCGCTATTACAACTGTATGTCAGTTATTTATACAGAAATGAAAAAAAAAAATTTCAGGGCGAAACGTTTTTAAATCATCTATTAATTAAATTTCTGAATATAAACGTTGCTTAACAACATTAAAGACAGACAGTCCGGTAAAATATGCTTAATAGTCTGATAGCTCACAAAATGTTTGGCAGTTTTGACATTTTCCAACTTCACGTACCTCTTGGGACCACAATATCTGCAACTTGCACAGTGGGTTCGATGTACTGCTCAAACGCAGGCTTGACAAATTTGTTGTACTGTTTAATGACGCCTGCAATGTCACGCCCTCTATTCGTGATGTCCCTCTTTAGGCGCCTGACTAGCCGGATGTCTGAGTCTGTGTCTACAAACACCTTCATGTCTAGGAGCTGAAGGACACACAGAAACAGAAATACAACAAAACGTCCAAAAACTGACAACGTGTGATAGACAAACACAAAAAGTGTACATTAGAGCTGCAACAAACAAATATTTTAATAATTACAATGCCAAATATGTCACATTCAAATATGTGCAATCTGGTGCATTTTGAAGGGCTTAATATAAAGTGCTTAATATATAACTTCAGGGTTCCTACACATTTTCCATTTCAAAATTCCATACTTTTCCAGACTCGAATTTCCAAAACTCTCTTTAGATTTTTCATAGAGCATTATTTTCAGCTTTATATTTGGTATATAGTACAGTCATCTGCACACAAGAAACGTTTTTTTGCCTTCGAGAAAGTATTCACATGTGCATGGGAATTTTGTGCATGCTTACGCATTACAATTTCTAGTTTTATAGAACCTATTTCCTTTGTGCATCACATGGTTGCACATGAATTAACAGAGATCTACTTGCTCAAAATTTGGCTTTTTTATGGTAGTACCTCTAATTTCAAGGCCTAATGTCCAATTTAACACATCCTCTGTGGTGGCACAGAAACCATGACATGAAATGGGCTGATGGTATAAAATTTGCCAAGTTCATGGGTTTATAAAAAAGATGGGTACTGTAAAAAAGCGTTTCAAATTTGGCTTTTTTTAGGGCAGTATGCCATATTTCAAGGCCTTAGGTCTCAACACATACTCTGTGGTGCTCAAGAAACCACACCGCGAAATGGGCTGATGGCACAACAGGTAGCTCTGTGTGCATTGTCCTATATGCTAAGTTCAATGGTTTCTCATGCGCGCACAAAAGTCTGTATATTTTTTATTTTTGCAAAGGTCCTTGAGGCTATGTAATACAGTGCAAAGAATCTGCTTATAACCTGCATTTTGCATAATGAAAAAGTGCACCTTGAATTCATTCAGTCGTTTTTTGACTTTGACTTCTTGTACATTTATTTTCATTAAATTTTTAATTTTCTATTATAAAAAAACTAAATGGGGCAAAAGTCTGGAAACACAAATACTTCTCCATACTCTACTTTCTTTTTTCCATACTTTTCCAAACCCCGTACGAACCCTGTAACTTGCACACACATTTTTCTGCTGCAGTTCTTTTGTGGTTTCTGGAGCTTCCTCTTTAGGATTATGGGTAGTGTACAATACCATTTAAAAGTTTGAGGTCACTAAAATTTTGTTCCGTAGCTAAATAAAAAAAATTATAACTTATATTTAGCTAAGGATGTATTAAATTGTTTAAAAGTGACAGTAAAGACATTTATGTTACAAAAGATTTCTGCTTAAAATAAATGCTGTTTTTTTTTAACCTTATTTTAATCCAAATACCTAGAAAAAAAATCTATCACCGTTTCCAAAAAAAAATAAAAAATCAGCAGCACAACTTTTTTTCAACATTGATAATATTAAGAAATGTTTCTTGAGTAGCAAATCAGCATATTACGACTTCTGAAGGATCATGTGACACTGAAGACTGAAGTAATGATGCTGAAAATTCAGATTTGCCATCACATAAATTACATTTTAAAACATCAAAACAGAAAATGAATATTTTAAAACATAATATTTCACAATTTTACTGTTTTGACTGCATTTTCGCCTTTGTGAGCATAAGAAACTTCTTTAAAAAACTTTTAAAAAAATAAATAAATTCATCAGCCCCAAACTTCAGAAAAGTAGTGTAGTTCTTCATCTAGAATTTGCTGCTTAACTACAATATTTTTTGGGGAAAAGAAAAACTTCAACAGAAGCATATACCATTGATTAATAACCCTCATTATTCTCCAGCCCAAAGTGATGAAATCTTGCAGGGCAGACACAACCAGTCAAGGATCTACTACTGTCTCTCCTCAACGGTTCGGTTCCTGTTACTGAAAACACGTATCAGATCTTTCAATGGAGCGAACGGATAGGACATTTTTAAAAAGCTGCTCAGCAAAGGGGAAGTCAGGATCAATCAAAGCAATGTAGTGCAGCGTGACGCCAACTAGCCAAGATGTACCGCTGGTGCTGACACTGACGCTGAAAATGGATATCATTCAGTGAGTCCACATGATATGGCAAAGGCATTACATTTCAGGGTAACGATAAACAATCCAACACCCTTAAACAGCAGTGCCAGCAGCCCTGCCAACACGATGAGGCATAACTTATAAGGCTTTGTGTGCAGGTGTGCAAGAAACACACATGAATGGGGTGAAAGGTCAAGTGTATATCAAGTTTTAAAGGACAGGAAGTCATTGCTCATTCTTCCCGAAATGAAAACGGCGGTGAGCTGTCACTGTATTCACAAAAACCTGCAATGAGAAAGAGTTAAACGGAAAACCCTGATCCATTCATTAGCTGAATGATGTCTACCGTTTGTTGAGTGTCATTCGTTCTGCGGCACATCTGCTGCACGGTGCTCGTAAATCACGTCAGGATGAACTGCTTAGCCAATGCGTACACAATAACTCCCATTTTAAATTGTATAGATTTCCGGACACCTCGCGCAGGGAAGAATCGAAACCCGGCAATGGTAACCATCAATGCAGGTGTAGATAAACACCGCCTATTCACTTCCTGTGGCCGCTCTTCACCTTCACCATTAGAGAGAGAGAAGTATCAGTCATCTTCATTGTGTGAGGAAAACAACAGGATGCAGGAGGAAAAGAACAAGGAGAGGACAGACTTCTTGTGCCGTTTCAATAGGATTAGGCTTTAGGAACAAGATTTCACATATCTATTCTTCATCCAGAGATGCATTTGTTCCCTTAAATGATAGTAGAGACAACTGGAACTCATTATCTAGCTAACTAGTATTCATGTATATGAGAGCGACAGAGACGCTATAGTAGAGAGGGAATCTCATCTCCGTGGTCGGATTGTGGGAATGAGATCCATTACTCAGCGGCAGAGACAAACCAGGCTATGTGAAAATTCCAAGATAATTTCACCCCAAATTCAAAAGAAAAAATAAGAACTTAAAACTTCCAGTTCCGGCGGTGCGAAAACGCCAAAAAGTGGGTAGTTCCACAATTAGTTCTGGTACTATGAAAAGGTTCCCGCAGTGCGAAAGGCCCTATAGATAATGAAGGCTACTTTTAAAAGTAAAAAGATTTTTTGCATTACAATATTACTTTCTAATATAAAAAAAAAAAAAAACATGGGGTTAATAAAGAAAGCAATACTTTCATTCAGAAAGGATGCATTAAATCGGTCAAAAAAGACTTTTATATAATGTTATAAGATTTCTGTTTTCAACATTGATAATAACCAAAACGTTTCTTGAACACCAAATCAGCATATTAGAATGATGTCTAAAGGATCATGTGACACTGAAGACTGGAGTAATGGCTGCTTAAAAATTCAGCTTTGCCACCACAATAAAATATATTTTTAAATATCTTTTTTTAATTGGTAATCAAATTTCACAATATTACTGTTTTATTGTATTTTTGATCAAATAAATGCAGACCTGGTGAGCATAGAAACTTTTTTCAAAAACTTTTTAAAAATTCCCAAAACAAATCAATCTCATGACAGAAATACAGTAATAATACAGTAACATCATGCTCAGACAATTTTTTTAAAATTCAACATAAAGGGAACATCAAAAACCATCATGCATACTTTCAATTTTACTTTTTAATTGAAATCCCTATTTTTTGTAAGATTTGCCATAATATAGGCTACTGAGATCTCTTTTTTTTTTTTTTACACTTTTCTTCAGTCTAGACACAGTAGAACACAGCCATCTGGATTTCAGCAATGCATTTCTTTATTTTACAGCACAAGTTTAGTAGACTGTACTTCTCATCTTATTGTCATTCAGCATCCATAACTAATCTGTGGGAATATAAAATACACAATATTCCCTCCCTTCTCTTCCTATCATTACAAAGTAGGGATGCACTGATACCGATACTGGTATCGGTATCGGTCCCGATTAGTGTTGTTTTTGGCGGCCTGTTTTAATTTTAGTTTAGTCTTTGTGTGAAACTGTCATTTTAGTGTTTATTAGTTTTAGTCACGTTCATACTCTTTTTAGTCTAGTCAAGTTTTAGTCAACTAAAAGTCTGAGCATTTTAGTCTAGTTTTAGTCGACGAAAACTGATGACATCTGGCGAAAGTGAATCTAGCAGCCTGTGTAAAATGCGCTAGGCTTTACTACTTGTCCCTCTCATTCTGCACCAGTGCACACGTTAACAAAAACTTGTAAAATACATTTTAATGGCCATAATTAAGTGTGGCAATAACCGAAGGATATACAGTCAAAACAAAAATTATTCAGAGACCAGATATAATTTTTTATAATATAATAATCGGCAAGTACCAAAAATAAAAGTATCGGTATTGGGCGAGTACTGGAAAAAGTGGTATCGGTGCATCCCTATTACAAAGCTATCTTTCTTTTCATTTGACCTTATCTTTTACACCTCCATTTCTCCCTCTCTGCTTTATGACTCCCATGATGCTCTTCTATATTTCAGGCTATGAAGCTTTCCATTATTCTTCCTCTCTTTCTATCTTTTACTGAAAGCCCTTTGTGGTATTATAAACCACAGTTAAAGGTGGCAGCTGAGACTTTTATATAATGTCCAGTGTGACAATATGAGGCTTACCTTTAAAAGCTCCTTGTTGGCAAAAGCCAAGATTCCCTCAAATATCACAACGTTGGCCCCATAGACAGTTTTCTGAAGAGAGGAACATAAACAGAGAACAGTAAAGGACTAGGGAAAAAAAAAAACACATATGAAAATGTGATGTTACAGTCTAATCTAAAATAAAATAATGAATTATCAGAAAAAGTACAAATGCATTACTGAAATAGTCAATTAATTCATTAATTATAGCATAAAGAATTTCTGTAAAAAAAATAAAAAAAAACTCTCTTTAAATTACACAAAAATAATGTACACAAAGTGCCAAGAAAATGCCTTATACTATTTTCCACTTCAAATATGATGTTAATAAACTGAGGCAGTGTAGGTAGAGACTGTGGAAGTGTGTGGTGATGCATTTCCTCCATGCTCCCCTGCTTCAGAATGAGGGGAACCCTGATGGTGTCATGATCCCATTAAGACAGATGCACTACCATGAGGCTTCCCGTCAATGGCCACTCATTCGGTATTGATCAGCAGCACGAGTGGCCTGTATACGCCAGAGATCTCCCTTTATCGCTCATTAACATTACAACCCATTTAAAAACAGAGGAAAAACCTTCTGCACTAGGGCTGCACGATTAATCGCATGCGATATTTAACGCGCATTTTGGGGATTCGAATTTTAAATTACTCATTTAAGCGATTCAGAGTCGACTCTTTCTTTTGAAAGAAAATAACTTTATTTCTGATGTGCTTTCAGCTTTACAACTTTGCAGACTGTTTACATTCACATACAGCTACGTTACACACTGGATGGAAGACAATTTTCAAAAATCCATAATAAGGGCTATTTAATTTATAAGGCTTATTTGTTTGTTTTATGGAGTACTTGGTTACTCAGGCTAAGAGACTAACACTTAAATATTCATTTGTATTATACAAGTGTCTCATTAAATGTATCTACAAATGTATAAAATTGATCAAAGATCAGGTAAAAACCACATAAACACTGGTTCATGACTTCACATAGATCCCCCATATGTTCACTGATGAGCTGCGCAAAAAATCGCGCGAATATGAACGTGGTTTGGCGCAGCTCGTCAGTGAACAACGGCTCTGTGTAGTTAATGCTGCTCAATGTGAAAGCACGCAGGTGATGGAGATTTACCGCTGATTACAGAACCGGCTTTACTGATAAGATGCGCGTTAAATATCGCATGCGATTAATCGTGCAGCCCTATTCTGCACCTTAAATTTTAGGAAGATAACAAAAGCAGTGCAGCTCCTAAAGAATCATAAATACCATGTCTAAAGTAACTGTAGTTACTGCTACTGTTCTTCTCAGGCATGAAATTGCAAATTGCCTATAAAGAATAAAAACAACCATAAACATTGTTCTCAGTTAACAATGCAAGAGTGTAATTTGACAGCTTTATAAAAGTGTTGGGTTTTGGAGTTAAATTAAATCTATAAAGAGATAATAACTGTATAATAATTAGGTTAAGAAAGTAAATTATTCTAACATTAATTCACATTAAAAAAAAAGGTTAATGTTCACAATTTCTCAGTTATATTAAATGGTAATCTGATTGTAATGTTCTCGTGCCATATTGTGCAACAGTCTATTTAATTAATACAGCAAAAAAGCATTACAGGTCATTACTAGAACATACACCGTAATTACATTTGCATTGCTGCATCACATTTAAAGCTAAAGTAGGTTACACTTTATTTTACAGTTGCCTTGTTACAGTGTAAAGTAATGAGTAATTTTAATTAATATGTACTTACCATAAGGTTAGGGTTAGTTGCATGTAATTATGAATAATTTACTGTTATTACACAGGTATTATTGTTATTACATAAATACAATTACTACATAAGTACATGTAAGATCTAACAAGGATACTATAAAATAAAGTGTGAGTCTGAAATTTTCGTATGCGTTTTCTTCTTTTTTTTTTTTACATTCGTCATTCTTTCCTATCAAAATGCTTGCTACGGATGCGAAATCGCAGAAATGTGAACCCGATCCGAATTTTTTTATGACGTACGAAACTTTCGGAGGCAGTGTGTAAACATGATTGACATGAGGTCGTATTTATTTTTTTACGTGCAAAAATTTCAGCCGAGAATTTCAGACTGTGCAAAGACCTTTACTCTGAAGTATTTTTCTATGCTAAAAACATATGACAACTGTAAGTAAACTGTTTGTAGGTTTATTTCCCCTGAGACGCAATGTTTCGAGCATCCAAACTATTTTTTGCAATTTTGCTTGGTAAAGCTAGGGCTGCAGAAACTACATAGCTTTATTCTGGAGGAGAAAACAAGGTAGTAAGGCATCTATACAGGCTCATGCATACTAACCCTGTAGACATCGTCCGATGCCAATTTGGTAGACATCGCCCAACCCTAATACCACTGATGAAACAAGTCATTGGATTTGGAGTGAAATTCCTCACTCAAAAGGTCAGGAAGTTTAAAGCAGATGTATTCAGGCTGGGTCTTCTTTAACTCAGTTGTGAAGTACCTTGTAGAAAGAGTCCATAGAAAGCAGAACAACCCAAGGAACATCAAGAGCCTCTATGATCTTATTGGCCACGGTGGTTTTCCCAGAGGCACTTCCTCCACACAGACCTGCAGGACACAACAGAAGCTGCAGCTTGTTCAAATGCACAAAAAGTCAATATTTGCAAACTTCTATTTTCACAACAATCATGAATTTTGCTGCTATGTTAAAGTAACATTTGAAAGGTTAAGAAATGTACACATAAGACAAAGTATAAATTTTTTATTAAGGTTTAAAAAAAATAACAACAAGGTTTTAGATTTGATTTACAATATTACTTCAGAACCACTGAATAACATAATATAATATATCCACCTTTTTCTTGTCGCAAAAATGGGCGATGAACCGGAAGTCTCACCCATAGGCTTACTTCCGCGTTGAAGAAAAAGGTGGATAAAAGGGATAGTTCTGGTCATTGATTCTGATTGGTTAAGCCGTGTTCGAAGCTGTTGTAAATTACTCTACAAACATACACCTTTGTTTACTTTGTG